CATCCATGCTTGGTACCTTTTTGACAGTGTCATGAAAGGGAAGGGGCACAGCCATTATCACATAAAACCAGGGTGAATAGCGTTTTCACAACTATGGTGTCAGGAATATATGTTTGTATTCCTGACACTATAGTGTTCCTTTAAGCAAATTAAAGGACCATTCTGGTCACCATAACAACTTCACCTAAATGAAAATGCTATGATGCCAGGAAGCCCCTGGGTGCTCGTTTTCCTTTAAGGGGTTAAATCGCTCTCAAATGATTTAACCCCAAAGGCTTCCTCCAGCTCCAGGTCGCTCAGTGGTATTTGGCTTCTGAAACAGAGTGTCAGGAAGTGCAGATTGACGTCAGGCATGGGTGCCGCTGATTGGCTAGAGTGGGCAGTTGACGCTCTAAGCCAATCGCTAGTTCCTGGTTCATAAAATATTTTAACTTTTTTATGAATGGGGAGCTACTGATTGGCTTAGAGTGCCAGCTGACCGCTCAAGTCAATCAGCAACACCCCTACCCAATGGCACTCTGTGCTTCCTGACACTCAGTAAATAAAAGTGAACACATTAATACTGATATTTTTTTACCTTTGGAGATGAGAAGGTCCAGCGTTTCCCTGCCTGGCCCAGGTACCAAAGCCTTATGATGTGGTGTCCAGAATAAAGTGGAGGTTCACTTCATTTGTCCTTCCTGCTCCAATCTCCTTTTCCTCTCCTTCATTTGACAGTCTTTTTTTTATCTTCTGACACTGTTTTCTATCCTTGGCCCCTTCTGCTATTTTACCTTTCTGCTACTTTCTGCTTATTTTGCACCCTTCTGCTCCTTTCTCATTCTGATCCCTTTCTGCTCCTTGCAGACCCTTTCTGCTCCCTTTTCTACTTTATCTTTGTGCTCCTTGCTGTCCCTTTGTGCTCCTTCTCCTGCTTTACCTTTGTGCTCCTTCCTGCTCTTTGCAGGCCCTTCCTGCTCATTCTCCTATTTTACGTTTGTGCTCCTTCTGCCCCTTCCAGCTCATTTTTGACCCTTTCTGCTCCTTCTACTTTACCTTTGTGCTGCTTTACCTTCCAGCTCCTTGCTGACCCTTCCTGTTCATTTCTGTTCCTTTGTGCTCCTTCTCCTACTTTACTTTTTGTGCTTCTTGCTGTCCCTTCCAGCTCCTTGCTGCCCCTTTCTGCTCCTTGATGTCCCTTCCTGCTCATTTCTGTTCCTTCTCCTTTTCTTACTTTACCTTCCTGCTCCTTGCTGACTCTTCATGTAGGCTGTCTCCCCCATCCCTCACTTCCATAGGCGTACGCACGGGGTGTGTCGGGTGTGCATGGGCACACCCTAATCCCCGCGGCACGACGACGCTATCCGAGCGGCGGCTCTGGTCTAAGCCTCCATGGGCCGGTGGGGAGATCAAAGTTCTACCTCACCGGTCCACAGCAACATGGAGGAAGGCAGCAGAGAACCCGGGCTAGAGTTCACTCTCCACTGAACCACCAGGGAAGGCAGCAGGACTGGGATAATAACTAATCTGCCCCCACCTCCACCCAAACATACAGCACACACACACACACAGCACACACAGCCCCCACACACATACATCACCCTCGCACACACAGCACCCACACACACCCAGCACACTAACAGCATCCTCACAAACAGCACACTCACACACAAACAGCACCCTGACAAACACACAGCACACAAACAGCACACTAACAGGACCCGAACAAACACGCACACACAAACACCCTCTCACACACACACACACACACACACAGCACACTACCAGTTCCCTCACACACAGCACACAAACAGCACCCTCACACATAGCACACTAACAGCACTCTCACAAACACACACAAAAACACCCTCACCCACATAGCACACTACCAGCACCCTCACACAGCAGTGCATATATATATATATATATATATATATATACACATATACATACACACACACACACATATATACATATACACATGGCGTGTGTTTGTGCTTTAGGGTGCACACCCTAATGCAATAGGCTGCGCACGCCTATGCTCACTCCCCTAATCTATAGGCTGCTGCCCTACCCCCCCAAATCTATAGGCTGCTGCCCCCCCAAATCTATAGGCTGCTGCCCCCCCAAATCTATAGGCTATCTCAAACCCTCCCCCCATCCCTCACTTACCTGATCTGTAGGCTGTCTCTGGCTGCATGTGTTGTTCCCCTGCGGTTTCAATCAGCAGAGAGAAGCAGGGATAAGATGCAGCTTCCTATCCCTGTCTCTCTCCATACACAGCGCCACCTACTGGCCGGTGCCGGTATTGCAGTTCATTTTCAATCACACGAAAAATAGCAGAACAAGCTGAAAAATCCAGGGGGGGGGGGGCAAGTGCCCCCCCTTGCCCCCCACTGCGGATGCCCATGCTATGAGGAGATGTTGATTGACCAGGGCTGTGTTTGAATCATGCTGGCTCTGCCCCTGATTTGCCTCCTTGTCAGTCTCAGCCAATCCTATGGGGAAGCATTGTGATTGGATCAGGCTATCACATGTCAGCAGACTGCTTGTTTTTCTGAGTCTAACAGCATGCAAATTTACAGCTTCAGGTTTGAATACAGTAAGATTTTTACTATATTTATAGAGGCATGAGGGGGGCTAGATGGTGGTGTTAACACTATTGTGTCAGGAATACATGGTTGTGTTCCTGACCCTATAGTGATCCTTTATGTATTTTTATTCACTATTTATGAGAGTACTGCAATCTTACTCGATATATTAAATTTTGGCAGTTAAAAAAATAATTGTAGAAGACATTTTAATTATTATGAATTTTG